CCTGATAATATGCCTCTGGAGTTTCTTTTGCCCATAATTCTAACTCAATACCACCAACAGTTATTTTCATTATAACCTAGTTATAACAAATATATTAGTTTTATTAATGTAAAATACTTTTAAAATCAAATTTATTAAAATTTATTATTTATTATTGTAATTCAAATTAGAAGTTATTTAATATATTAATACAAAAATTTAGAAAGTAAATATTGTATATCAGTTAAATTTTTAAAAACAGATATGCAATCCATTGAAATACTATTAACTAATGCTTATTACTTTACCCTTAGTGGCTGTCTCTTGCATATAAATACAACTCATGTTTGTAAGCCTCCTATAATAAAAAGAATCCTTTGTCAATAATATTTCATATTAAATCTTTAGTCATTTACAAATCAGTCAACGAAATGGTTCTTTTCTCGAATCTATTCAGTGATTCTTATATTTGCATGTCCACGGCACACATCCTTCATTGTTGATACATATGCTGCCCCTTTCCTGTTTCTTGATTTGACATAATATGTGTTTCCTCTTCTCACTGCTTTCATTTCAATCACTCTCTTTTCTTTATATCCATCATTCTGAAATATAACACATTAGCAATGATCATTGACTTTGACAATTGATATCAATATTTATTCAGATCAAGAACGCAACATACCTTTCAATCTCACTGTATTCTCTATATCTTGTTGTTAAAAGAGGACATGACTTAAATTAATTTCATCCCCTTTTATCTGCTTGAAGCATCTCCCTTTTATGAATGTTTATTTAACCATCAAAGATTTCTATCTTGTATGTCATATGGTTAGCCGACCTAGAAACCAATAGACATATCATAACTGACATATTTGTATTATTGTTTCAACTTTTTCTCGCTATAAAATATAATTCTTGGCATCTAATGGCTCTATGCTCGTGATATTCCATGAATCCAATATTTTTCTACTGTTGCACGTGCGGGTTTATTTCGACAGAATATTGTCTTTTCACAACCAAGCTCTGCTATCACTAATAAAAGGTGGAAAAACAATGGCTCATAATTTACACTATTTAATTACAAAGACTTACATTCTTTTGCGTGATGCAGGTACAACCTTGCATGACACAACAATACTTCCGGCATTTGTTTGCAATTTTTTCTCATTTCCTATGCTCTCTCCTATCCTCCAGGAGAGGAATCTGTAATTATAGAAGTAATAAAACTTTAATCATAAATATCTCAAAAACTACTGAGTAGTTGCCCCTATAATAGTATATTTTTTTTAAACTGCATGACGAAATCTATAAATCTGCAAAATTTGAACCAAATCGGTGACCCGATTGACTTGCACTCTCCTTGTAAACTACAAGACAACCGAGAGTAGTTTTGCAGAAATTAAACTGGATAGCAAGTACTATGTAGCTCTCAGTTTGGCATCGTTTGCATTGCGTAAAAATCCCGTGAAATAACTATGTCGATCAACGAAATGAACAACCAAAAGTTTTTAAATTTCTATTTAGAATAGAAATTATAATTTTTTTCAAGAGATTCTAATCCGCTACGTACAAGGAAGCCCTATCTTGACCCACAAATATGTGCATATGGATGAATATCTGTAAAATAAATTATTTTTAAATAATCTATCCGTGTTAATAGATAGTATAGAAGCAAAGAATTTTATATTATGTTTGCAGTTATAATTACTGTTGGTATTTGTCCAACCAATAATAACGTTGCAATCTTCTTTTATGATGAATTGGTAACGTGGCAAGTGATACTTATCAGCAGTTGATAAAAGAATATGTAGTAATTTTTATGTATATGGACAAGTATTACATAATTATAAATCTTGCGAGTCTATCTTACTCTATATTAAATTGATAATTTTGAAAGCAGCAATAATAGAAGTATCAAAATGGAATGACGATTCTTAATCTCTCTAGAAATACAATCAAATTTCCTTTGAATGAAAATCCTGTAACTCGTTTATCACGTAAGAACAGGTACGTTTATCACGTATAGATAGAATACATCTATCATGTCTTTCCAATTACGATGACATAGATCTTTTTTGAAATGTTAAGGAAGGTTGATTGAAATTTTATCGCGTTCGATAAATAATGCGAGTATTATTTTGTTTCGGGGTCGGTATTTCAGAGATTACGATATGCAGTTGTATGACATGTAAAGTGTATCCTATGCTTTATTTGTGATAATATTTGCATTCGACAAAATTTAATTATCTATATTTACGCTATTAGAAATAAAATATTTGATCAGATAGTACCAGGTAGTAACTATAATTTGAGTTTATTGTGCTCGGTATAATCATTTCGGTTTAATTTATCGATCGACTGATGACAAAAATTCTTCGTCTAATGATTCGACGAAACAGGAAGGATGGCGTTACGTTAAGAATCGGGAAGATAAACGTTTCGAACCGCTGATAATCTAGAATGCAATCGGTGATTTATACAGTAGCGAGACCGTATCACTCGCGTGCACAGGATTATAGGGATCTTACGGATTTGCGATGACGATGGTGGTAGCCGAACAGTAACGCAACATTGCAATGTATGAGGCGTGTGGCCTTGAAGTATCTGTATAGATTCGAATTTCCAGTCTTGCAAGGCAGTATTCACGATATTTCGAATTAACGCCTACGAATATATTCCGGGCGTTATATTGGAAACCGATATTCACGAGCCGTACCTCTTCGAGTGTCAATGTGCACGTAACCGTATCTCTTCTCTTGTGTCTTTATCCGATGCTAGTGTTGCCAAAGGCCGTTCACCGATTAGTTTATTTTCAACTATCGACCTATCGTCTGGATACTTTGCCGATACTCGAGTTTTCAACAAAATTATAGCAAAAAATAAATTTCATCTCGATACGTATTCATAGAGTCCTATTTTTTGGAACAACTGTCGATTTCTTTACTCTGATATTATAAAGTTATTTACAATAATTTTATAAGCTCCCTTTTTATTTCGATTTTGATAAAATTTTTAACCGAAGGTAGACCAGTGAAAATAGCATTTATGTGGAACAAAAAGAGTTAGATACCTATAAACGGATAATTTTTAAACCGTAAATTATTGATCTGCCACCGATTGTTCCTTAATCATTTTATTTACATTCCCAAGAACAATAAATTCGATTCGATTTCTGAAAAATTAATTACACGATTTCACAGGATTTTATTGAATTTTATAGAGCCTATGAAATAAATTCCAATTTCAATAAAACCGAATGTTATTCATCATCGTTCATGGTGGATCGAAATAACGGTAACAATCGAATAAAGACCCGATCCAATTGTTCTTTGCTTGGTTTTTTATTACCAGTTTTTATATTAGCAGGGTTTGTATTTTGCTTTGCTCTCTCTTTACGCTACTTTTCCCTATAGTTCTTACGAGTGACATATTTTTCTTTCTCCTGGTGCCACCACCTCTTTTTTCATACTTACGTATGTGCATAAGTACATAGGTGTTTATATATCGAGACTCACGTTCTCTGCATCTCTGTTCGTATGCGTATATGTACAGGTACGATATAAAGTAGAGTAGATTTTCGGACGGATAGGTTCTTTTATGGTCATCCGGCAAGTCGTGCTTACTCTGTCGCTGTACAAGGGCCCTTCGTAATGATTTCTATGCACGATGCAAACAGGGGCAGAGGGGTGTATTGGATCGATGGAAGCGAGAGAGGATTAAGCGCGGTGGTGACAGGTTGTTTTATGACCACACCACATTTCATCTAGTTTTCGCCGTAAGTGTACTTGCGCCAAGTGCAAAACTCGAATCCCGCGCGTTCGTTTATTACTGTTGCGTCAGACTATTTTGCATCGCGTGGCTTTTCAATTAGCTTGCTTGTGTACGTTCCATTGTTCTATAGTGGTATACTAGGTTCAATTAAAACTCCGTAGGTAATATACTCGTGGAAATGTCTTTTCCATCGGCATAGAATCTATCGGCATTGGATCGATCCTGCCATCCGATCCAAATCAAGCGAGGGACAAGCGAGGGAAAAAAATAATTATCATTATCTTAAAGAAGGAAATAAGACGCGTTATTTAAAACGACAGTCGACATGGATCAGATACAAAGAAAGTATCACGTTTTCGTGGAGTTGGGAACTGAAAGAAATTTCATTTCGTTGGAACATAAGTTAATAAATGTAACAATGGATATAAGAGATTATTTTAATCGTCGAACGTCATAAATATCTATGCGATACATCTTCGACGAATTCGATATACTCGACGTGTGCACTTGCCTCGTATACGTTCATACGATAATTCGATAGCTCGTATTCATTTTGGGCCTCTGGTGTAACGGATACCAAATTAGGTATTGTGTTATCGGTTTAGTTTGATTAATGGTGGGAAATAAGCTGCGGTTATTGGAAACGGTGCTGAGAACGTGACTATCGGATCATCGGAAATTTTGGACTTTATACGTATACCGAGTCGCAATACTTACCTTTAGTTCGCGATGTTCGACAATTCGAGGATCGCTGAGAAAGGTAATCGTTGCAAGAATCGTCGTTAGAATCGCTGTAATAAAATTGTAGCGAGTACGCAAATTACGTAGGTGTAGGTGAATTTCCATCGGGACTTTCGAAGGATTAATATTTCCATTGACCATAATTTTCCCGTTAAACATCTTGCAAGTACTTACTTCGTAATACGCGATTAAGCGTGTTCTCGGCAGAAGATACATCTTTATTATACGTTACCCCGGGGGCAACGAGAGTTATTATGTTCCATGGGTTGAAGCGAAATTCCTTAGGTTAGAATCACAGTGATACGAGGAATTCTGTCTCGTGTCCTTATTGGATATATTTCGGTTTTACGATGCAACGTTCGCGATATTAAACTACGCGACTTAGACTTGGACTCGCTCGTAAAATAATTATAGTTTGGTCGATTCAAAATGTCCAATTTATTTTGTACATTATAATATCGTAGAGATGAAAATCTGACGTATTATTTTATTCTGCGAGTGTATTTCCATATCGTTCATCTGCCTTTTTCCGATAAGTCGACGAAAATTAATCTGAAGCCTCGATATTAAAATCACTCGCGTCTATTATTGTTAAACGAATCAAATCTACAAATGTCGATCGTTATAATTTGGAGCATGAAATTCCTGCTAATAGGTTCTATAACGCTACGTACAGGGGTCACGTTAATACCCGAGCGGACAATGGAAAGCTCGTTTCAACGAGAAATCATCGACAAATTGTTACTCGTCCTAAGTAAAAACTTATACGCTTATTCGATAAGTCGCGTAATGCTTCGTCACGTGTAAAAAGATATTGCGAAACTCTTGCACCCCGCGAAAGAAACATTCTTGCTACAAATACTCGTTATCTGTTCGATTTAGTGTAGGTATTACAGTTAGCATACACGTATGTACATTGATCACATTAATACATCGAGTGATTAGTTCTAATATTACCTGGGAACTGTGATTCGAATAGATAGAATAGCTCCCCCTCTTTTCCTCTGACAAAGCATACGACAAACGATGATTGTACTTTGTAATTGTTCAGGTCGAAGCATCCTCCGTTAGACGAGTTTAATATTTTTTTCCAACGTAAGATACGTAGGATTGCAAGACTAGGTATAAGACTAGACAGGAGGACGAAACGATAATCGCGTTAATTTTATTCGGTTTTCGAGTACGAGATCGCCTTCGTTCGAGGAAAAATCGTTGTGGATTTTCACGCGATGTAAGGCGTACTGAAAGAAGCACGGGATCATTCGTGGTATTCGTAACGTGATTTTTGGCTCGTTCGAACGTTGTTAATTCGCGAAGCTTTCGACGAAACATGAAAAAGCGTTTTTCACGCTTTAAGATTTATCGAGTACACTTTTATGCTCGTTTAAACGGTAAACAGTGTGCGGCGCGACATGCTGTGACCTTTTTAGTACATTTTTAGTACATTGAATTTATCTAAACTTTAAAATGTTTGCTTTTCAATTCATCATTAACGTGTCACTGCTTTGTTACATTGATTCCTCCACGAATGAACGCGAACTTTCCTATGCATTCGCTTTTATTTACGCGGGAAAACGACCGACTTATGGGAACGTGAAAGCGGCCGCTGAATACGATACTTGTCGTGCTTGAGGATTCGTATCTTACATCGATAGAACGTTCCGCGCCTTTTTCTTTTCCTCGTTACAGAAATTTCTGGCGTGTCTTACGCCTTTACGGCAACCAAGCGTTTAATTCAACGTTATTTCTGTTTAAAAATGCAAAAGGATGACTACTTCTTTCATCGTGACGTCGTGCATACCTTTGCCCATGCTCGTTTTAGGAAAAGAGATAGTTCGGCGAATGCATCTAGATAAAGATGAACCTTTGTACGCTTATCTCGACGAAAATATTCCAAGGATAGAGTAAAAATGAATATAATATACGATTTAATATTGCTTGAGTTTACGTTCCGTCTGGCGTTCCACGAACAATGTTGCACGTTGCACTCAGCGTTGTAAATACGCACATGTTGCGTCTTTGATGTTTAACGTTTAAGAACGAAGCGTTATAATCTTGAATTCCAAAAACTGAACCGTTGGCATAACGATATCGAGTATTTTAGTACATCTATCTGTCATACATTGACCGATGAACTTTGAAATTCTTCGAAATCGTGGTATCGGTGTCTTATAATTTTACATTGAGTTAGCCAGGTCGCGAAAAATAGTACCATCTTTGTTCGTATCTGTATGTCGCTCGCACGATATTGTTATTTCGAGTTGACATTTTACCGCGCCGGTGAACTTTGGATTAATTCAGCAGGTGACGTTGCATGTCTGCGAATTGCCGATGACTTTAAGTATAGATTTGGCGGGTAACGCTATAAAGTAAGAGAAGATAGAAAAATGTAATGAAAATTATTTGCAATCCCGCAGTAGGTAGTATAAATTCGGTAACAAAATTGGCACGGTAGGCTGGTCACGTGACGCAGACTTGCCGATTCGAGGTGCGTATGCCGAGGAAAGTCAGGAAAATCAACATGACGTTGATGGACGCCCTCGACGTAGCGTTTCGTCGATCACCGCCATGCATAGCCGCCGGTTTTTCCTCTTCTACAAACAGAAACAGAACAATGAGAAAGTAACGTTTGGCCGACTGGGATAAATGGTAGGCCAAAAGATGGGGTAGCAAAATGAAATGTTGCAAAAGCGAATAGAACTTTCGCGAATCATTCCGATCCAACGGATAAAGAGAAATAGGAAAAACATTTCGGAACGAACGATTTCGCGAACGATAGAGAGTAGCACTCTTTATTCGCGAAGAAAAGAGAAAGGTAAAATTTAAAGAAAAAAAGATGGATCGCTGACCTTCGATTACATGTATCATGATATATGCTGGCTTGGCGTTGCTCGGCGAACAAGTATAATTAGCACCGTGGGAGAGTTTCATTTTGTCGATCACGAGAATCGAACCGTTTTTCGTAGCCTCGACTTTGACTCCAGGTTCGTCGTCGTAATTGATCATGCGGCCCTCGCGATACCAAAAGATGAAGCTGGGTGTCTCCGTGGATGCTATCAGTTGACATTCTAGTCGAAGACTAGATCCTTGCTTCACGTGAAGATCCGGTCCGCCGGGTATCACGGAATATGCCTCCGTAATGCTCAAACGAATAAATCGTTGCTGAACCGAGTTTGAATCTGTCTCGAAAGGATATGTTTTAAACCCTTCCGATCCGCTTTAACGTCGTCATACCTTAAATTACCTGGCACTCGTACAGTCCAGCGTCTTCGCGTTTAACATTCTTGATCAGCAGGGTCCAATCTGGGCTGTTCGAAACCACCATGAATCGCGTGTCTATGGCATGAGTACCAGTACCCAGCGTCAATAGCTGTCTATCTTTCCTTCTGATCCAAGTTACCTACAACAAGAAATAAATTCCCAATCACGCGAATGCCGTTAACTCGACTAGGACAACGCGAAAACGCGTTCGTACGAACGAGTGTAACGAATATAAAAAAATTTTTTTAAATTATCGCGTTACATTTAATTCTCCGATAACTACAACGTTGATAGTTTTCGCATTCTTAATGGGATTTCTGCTAGTACCTCTAGTTAATAAACGTGATACTCGTTTCGAGACACCCGTTGCTCTTGTGATATTTACGGAACACCATATAATTGAAGGAAAGTAGCTTTAATAATAAATCCATTTCTCTTCCGTAAGTACGAAACATCGTCATCCAGCTTATCCACCCGTAATGCTATTTCCATCTTGTGACAGGTGATATTTTTACGGTCATAGCAAAGAAAGCGAGCTAAGAATATTACGAAAATGTACGAGGCCATCCACGCTATAGCAGTGTCAACGATTTAGCAGAATCAAGTAGCGTCACCGATCGATGTACCGACAGTCAGAGCTGTTTCGATACATTCCATCTTTTTCAATGGGGATTGAACCGCAGTTAAAAATAAGGGTACACTTCGGATGATTTTGTCGCAGATTTCGAATCCTTGTTTCCTCGAGTTTCCCTCCAATTCCACGTTCAGTCGGCTCGAATAAAGGTGAAGTTTGAATACGTAAGCCTGATCGATTTTCTAACTTCTACATCACGCGTATGCGCGAAGTTTCTTTTTTGCCAGTAGAATTACGCATGCTGGTCGGAAGAAATTTTTCTAAATTTTAGCATAATTATTGTGCTGGTGTGCGTAAAATTGTAATTGATCGCGTAGCGAGCGAGAAAAGATATCAGCCCTGTTGGTATTCCTGACGATGACGCTGGGAAAAGGAGGAGGCCGGCCATTTGCGTGCCTTAATTGTCTCCGTCGAGTATACTCGACGTTCACGGCGAGTAGGTTTCGCGATTTTCTAATGCGAGTCTGAAGATCTATGAGCACCGGCTCGATAAGAGCACTCGAGTATAAACGAGTCGAATAATGAACTTCTGCGACGTATTACGAATCAACGTCTGATCTTTACGCTAACCATTAATCCGATCATCCTTGTGCTTCGTGTTCAAAATTATCATATGAATTTCTCGCATAGTTTCGTCGTTTTATCCAATTTGCATTCGTGTATAATTGGATTTGCACGGTCAACAATGATATATACGGCAATCAAAATATGGATCGGAGACTTAATAAAATCTTCATTTTACGCTGACGATAAAGGAGAAGCGGGAAAATGATCCTTTTTCCGGTCAACCGGGTTCCATTAATCAGGCTTTTCTCCGCACGTGTGAACGCAGCAGCGCGATATCATCGGCGCGTCGTTTAATTAATGTCTCCCTCGGAAGAACGGCTCGTGATTGCGATAAATTTATTGAATTCGACCACCACGATGCGCCGTGCCAGCTCGGTTAACCTCCTTTTTCCAAAATTCTAAATTCCTCTTACATTTCTACGATATACTCGGTTTTGAAAGGAAGAATAAGCTCGAAAGCAACTAAGATGTTCCAGCTCGTTCCGAGAAATCGAAATAGGTATCGCTGGGTAATTGTTTCGTCCATTTCGAACCACGCGATTCTATTTCCTCTTATGCCACACGTACGATAACTTGTCAGTGTCGAGGAAATTTATCGCTGCTGAAATGAATGCTTGCCGGCGAACGGTTCCGGTTGTAACAAAGCTGCTTTTAGTCGCAAAGGAAACGTCATCGTCTCGAACTTGTAGGATGCATATAGGCTATAGATATAACATGGACACTGGCCGTTTCTCGTTAATATCGTTAATCAGAGTGCTTAATTTATAACAATTGATCGATACAAGGTATCGTATCATTCGGGTCGTAAAACGAGTACACGTACCGCGTGAATCGTAAAAGTCGAGGAGTCTCGTAAAACTGCACGATCGTCAAGACCTTAACGACGGTTTAAGGGATTTTAAGACTCGTTGCAAACGAGACCTTTAAAATATGGACGAAGATCGGTGGTCGAAGATTTCGAGACTCACAAATATCGAGACTCGATATTTGAGAAGTTTCGAAAGTAACTCGTTAGTTAGGCGTATCGTCTCGATAGTATCTGCTATGGTTACCTATTGTTCGCGCGATAAATCCACAGTTGAGATTGCTATACGAGCTATATGTAAAATTAACGGGGAAAAATAAATCTCTCCTTATTTATTAGAACGATTTGAAAAGCAATATTTAAATTTAATTCTACTAGGAATAATATCAGGCTTAACGAGTGAAACGTATTCCGATTGCTTTCGCTAACCAATAGAGATAAACGAGGGCGCGAGTAGTCGGTAAAGGATACGTTGAATTATTTTCTTAGAAGTTCGATTCGCGATCCATGCGTGAAACACGTTTAACCGGGCAATCTGAGCAAACGCACTCTCGCGTGATTTCTCATTCATCGCACCGATATCACACGACCTCGTATCGAGTGGATTTACGAAGACCCTGCGTGTTTATAGGGGATAAAATGTGGCCTATTCGCGTCAGGGACGCGTGCCGATCTTCGTGCTTGTTCTTCGTGCATGCAAAGCGACGCGTCCGAGTAGAAAAGCACAAGCTTGGAGGTACGTAGTTGAGCGCGCGGAAAAAAAGGTGTGGAAAGACGAAGCAGCTTGACGCCTGTGCGTCATGAATAAAAGATCGAAGGAAGGATCGAGCTTCTACCGAGTGACTCCGTTCCCGTTACCGTATCGATTGCCTTTTTCGCGTGTTTCGATTTGTCGCGAAATTCCGAATCGCCCATGGGGTCATCGTCCATCGCACCATGATCGTTCCTCCCCGCGCAAACGTTATCGACTTTTTCGATACTTCCTAGTTCCGGTTCTTACAGCTGTGTTACAGTTTCCGAAGCTTGGTGCAAGTTTCAAGTAACGCCACGTATTACGTCTCGCGACTGAGAATTTTTCCAGGGATCTATGCCGACGTTCAAAATGCGAGAAGAACGTGTAATCTACGGGATAATACGCGATAATTCGCATAACCGATAAAGCTCGTTAACCCGATAATTTGCAAGCGATCGATCGATGCAGTTATCTGTATATTAGTTACGCGTCGTTATGTTTTTACTCCTTGATTTATGCGTTATATCTCTTAATAGTTATTGACGATTATCATTGCGTACTACGATATTTTACATTCGTTTTTCGTTTTGTCCCATTCTATACGCTCAACAACGCAATTTATATCCATGTTTTCTGCCGTATTTCCTATTGTTGTAAATATTTGTCTTCTATTCGCTCGGGTCGCGTTTCCCACTCGATCGAATATTTATATCGCAGTGGGAGAGATTAATCATAAATTAATCGTGCGTTTATTTATCGAAATTTGTTACACGCGAGCTATGCGTCCTAGGTATTTACGTTTCTTTCAGCAAAGTTGCCGGAACAAGGAACAACGACGGTATAAGATAAATAACGAGTCGGGGAAAACAAAAATTGTCTCTCCTTTATGTAATGTACAATAGGATATAAAGGCAAAAGTTCCGGAGACAAAATTATCGTTGCTAATACTAGACGCGGATGCTCGTTGTTCTCTCATTATCTTTGTTCATTAAAAGTCTTTCCAAGGCTTGATAGTTTGAAAGCGTGTGCAATTTTTCGTTCCTTCTTCGGACAGTTGGGTTTTTAATGGACTTTTAACCTACGAACTTTTTCTTCGACGGACTGCTCTTTACGAAGCGGCATCTGTTTTCTCCTCTCCTCGAGAAACTCGTACAAAAGTTTACCGGTTTATGAGAAAATCGGTGGCGTCCTGTTCCGGGCCACCATATTGCCACCATCTGGCAGGACCTCGAATCGGTTCCAGAGAATACAGGCTGTATGGTTCTCGTCTACTTCCGTTGCCTTCCCTGTTCCCCGTACACGAATCGAGATTGTCGCGATCCTAGAATATTCTCATCCAACTCCGACACTTCGTAACTTCGTCACGGTGCATCGACGGCATTATTTTCTGCTTCGATATTTCCCGAGAAATTTCATAATATTTTCCTATTTTTCCTCTCTTTCCTTCCTCTTTTTACCTTCGACGCGGAATACGCGTATTGGGAAACGCGGATAACGAGCTGTTGCTCAGGAAATAATTATGCACATTAGACCGATGTTCGAATCATTCGTTAATTCGCGTATCAAGCCGTGTATACATCGAGCACGGGATAACAAGGCAAACGGAATATATTCGCTGCGTCCCATCAACGTGTCAACGTTATTTCCGCGATGAAATCATACAGGGACGGTGCGTATTGTTGGTCGGTGCGAAAATAGGTCGATCTTGTTTTCGAAATAGTTTGCACTTTGTCGATGATTGACGTTATGAAAAATCGAAAGCGCTTTAAATTTACGATCGATACCTCCTTTCCTTCGTTGGGGGGTGAAAGATGAAGATGTTCGGAAAACGCGAGAAACGATGTCACACAGTGGCGCGGCTGGAATTTATAATGCGAGAAAGTTTCGATCGTGATACGCGCGTAAACGACGCGATAAAAATTTCGAAATGCTCCGCCCATCGCGTCGACCCAAAATTATCGTCCATTAAAGATAATTACGAAGCACGTTGAACGAACGAGCGAACGTTCATCGCACGGCCAAGCGAAATTCATAAATTCCTTGATAATTATTCAAATCCTTGCCCGTTAATATTCCACCCTGTTCCCTAAATTGATCGTCTATCGCTCGTAAGCCGATTGAAAATTATACTTGTCCCGGAGATCTGGAGTTGCACGATCGTGGAAGAAATTTACGGATTGCATCACCGATAGATTAGAGCGTGGAGGAAAAGAAAAATTCGTCGAGTACGCGACGGCAGAGTCCGATATTCGAAGACGAACTTTCTACGACATTCCAGAGACAATTCGCTATTCGAACCAGAAAATTGGAGAAGTTCCTGACTCCCGACGGGATTTCCTCCTCGATCTCGAGCGCACGTGTACCGATTTCCGAAATATTCATATTGCTCCCGGCCACCGTGAAATTTATACTCGGCGCAGCAGTTGAATATAACGTCGAAACGCTTCTATCGTGCGCTATGTACGCGTATCGGTAAACCAGCAACTAACGCGTCCCGCTTACTTGGCCATGCCGATGCTCGAATCGATTAGTCGATCGATAGGACGATCCCGAGATTAACAAAATATTCTTCGATCCGAATCGATCAAATTTTTCGACACTCGCGTATGAGTATACCCGGCTCGTGATCATTATACTCTGTACCGCGTTGCACGACACGTTCCATCGAATCTTTTCGGCGTGTCTGTTGTATCGGCACGCTCGTAATCGGAGACATTCCTCGGCGGTTCGAATTGAAATTCTAGTCTAGTACGAATCGATCTTTGGCCAGCACTAGGTGTCCTTTTGTAGGCGAACACGCGTCGTGCATTTCCAGTTACAACGAGCATGGAAGCTTGCACCTCTGCTTCCAGCACGACAGGGTACTTTTAGGGAACGCCCCTATATTCCTTCGTACGATGCCAAGAATAATATCGTTTCGTTTCGGATGGTCTACAGGTTTCTCCGATGTGTCTGTTTCTTTGTACTCGCGTCTTTACGCGAACTTATGCCAAAAGAGTAGATAAAATTTCGCTCGTAGAAAAGGTATTCGCTGCGCTATACTTGATAACAAAGGCAGCGTAACTGAACCGGTATCGATACGTAGTTACGAATGGCCAGTTAACTGTGTCAGTTCCGAATTTCTATTGTTTCCGAGAGGCTCAATTTGCCACCCTTGATCGCGTATTATTGCAGATATCACTCGTACAATTGCTACTGCAAAGTAAGCGAATATCGTTGAAGCTAAAATGAACGATATACGAGTGTAACAACACCTGTACTCATAGTTTATCGTTTAATTTTAACGAGCTCGGAAGTGTATAGGTTAAACATTGAGGCGTAGTAACTTGGATGGTTAGGGTGAGATCTTTCTTTCCATGATATTTTGTCGATATCGTTCCACTTTCGTTTAATCTTTTTTTCACAAATTTGCGCGATGCCGCGATGAGAATACGACGAAGAAGAAAAATTGGAAAGTTCGCGACTGACGATGAATCGCGAAGTCAGCCAAGGGTTTTCAGGTTGTATGAGACATTTAGTAGGAAGGTGATTAAAAGTTTTAGGTTTTCCGACGATTTTACTTTTCTCACGGTTGAAAGTGTCGTAAGAGTGTCGTAGATGTTCGTGGGTTTCCATGCAATTACAGCCACAGAACCGTAGCTTCTCACGAGAATTGGGTCGTGCAAACGTATCTACGATATAATCTCTTGTCGCGTTTCAAGATATCGGTCGGTCATTTGGTTTAGTGGACATAAACGTGCGTTTATCGCAGTACAAGTAACACGGACGATAATCTACAAGGAGGACACGATGTTCGGATTTCGTGGAAAGATTCCTTTCTGGGTTACGCTTTAGACGCGTAACAGGTACGTCGGACATGTAGAAAAGAAACGGACAAGTTGGAAGAGGTGCGAACGTATAGGAAGAATACAGCCGGAATCACGTTCTCTCGAAGCTCCTGCTTCCATTGCATAGCAGTAGGGTTGTCAGTCTTATGTCCAACTAGTTCTCCCTTATCTATTCGTTTGTCTATGTACCTTCTACGTATGTTTTGGATTATCCGTATCGTTTACCGCGCTCGAGTGCAAACGTGTTTCGACTATTTGCGAGAAAATCGTATACAAAGAGAGAAAGGGATACTCAGCAGAAGCGTGTATCGGTTTCCGCTTGGTATGCAGGATAATTTATCGTTGGTGAGTTTACAGGGTTCGCCCGTTGCCAGTGGAGCGGAGAATCAATCCTGTCTGTCTTTTCCAAATAGTAATGGTCCGCGACACGGCCAAAGCTTAGTCGCGGCACCCGCTAACTTAAAAGGACAAGGGAAATGCGATTTTCTCTTGCAATTTCTCGCGCAAATGAAACAGCGGAGCACCGACATCGCGTTGCATTTTGCGCTATATTATTCTTCGATTACGTATCACAGAGCGTTAAGAACAGGAGCGAAAAATCGTTAAACGATTTCTCAGGTTTTTCCCTATACCTTTCAGAGATGGGCATTGCGCGTAGATTCGAGGGCGTTAAAATGCTGAAAGTCGTGGCCATACGTATCTTCGAGAGAAGGGAGTAAAGCCACGCGAGAATATTATAGGTACTTCCTTCGTTGAAAGTTACTCTTCCTTAAAGTTGATGAAGCGTTTCTTCATAGTAGGAAGAAAATTGCTTCATAGCAGAGCGATTTCGCGCATCTATGTCGTGAATAATGCAACATGAATCTTAATCACGCTCTCATTGTACGTACTCACGGGAAATACAAATTTTCGTCGGTAAGTTCTGCACGCACGCGCTCGTGTGTGTGTGTATGTGTGTGTGGGTCGGATCGAGGGAACGCAACGAGGGGTAGGTAGGAAACTGCGGTTCTTGGCGCGTCGACGCTTGCAACATTAAAACCGAGGAATTACGGAACAGCCTTCTAGATGGAAGGAAAGGGTTTCTACTCTCTCGGACATTCCCTCTTTCATCCGCCTGTTTGCCGGTCTCTTGGCGTTGCTCGCTCGGCGAACGGGCCGTTTGGTCTGTTGCGCGAAACGACCAGGTTTAGCCCTTCGCTTCGAGATACGTTTCCCGATTTCCGCTCTTTGCCATGGCGAGTGACCTCAGCCTGAGGCTTGCATACGCCAGTACGCTGCTCCGATCATTTATTAACGAGCATGCCTCGTGAGAAAGACGGAGCAACGGGAGGAGAACGCGTGGTGCATCGGGTTTACGTTGCTGAAATGCATCGTGTCGACACCGCGACGCTCGCTCAGCCGGTTGAATTTAAAATAGCACGCTAGACGCTTTACACGGTGTTTCGATAAATAATTGATGCTTACCGGAGTTTACGCGCGACACGAAACCTGTACGAGTGAAATGTTTAAGGCGCGAACGTACGACGTTTCTGAGGTTCCCCCGAACCTCTTTTCTGTTACGCGAAAACTATTTAAGACCCTGCCAACTAATACGTTCCGCGTATAGACATTCGTCTTTCCGCAGATTCGATTCGAAGCAAAGAACGTATACAGGTGTATGAAAGGTATCTCGGGGAACGGAGACCGCGAGGCGTGGAACGTTTTCTCGGAATGCGCAATGCCGAGGCCGCGTGTGCGTGCAATCTGCAGCACGGCCATTTATCGATGTGCCTGCTTTACGCAATGGCATGCAAGCTTGTGTACGATGCGCATACTTCCTTGGTGCTCATCGGCCCATGTATAATACCCGCATACAGGTCGGCTTGCAGCCAGTATATACACGGGCGGGTCCACTTGTACGCGAGCCGCCTCTCTTGCATACATCATCTGGAACGCGTATATTTGCCTGTAGGTATACATATACGGAGTACTCACTATTCCTGGACCAGCGAATCTACAGGGTAGCATAGCGTTACCGCCAGTCTGCGCCAGGACATCCTTGACAGGCGCAGCTACCGAAGGAAGGACGTTATTCCGATTCTGCGTCTCCTCGTTGACCAGCTTATCGCCGCGAATAGCACCATCTGCAAATATCGAAAACAACGTTTCGTATTATACATATCGATCGTCAAAGATTACCGTTACCGTTTGTTTGCGTTAATTCGAGGAGAATCGTAAAAAAGAACAAACCGTGTTTCCTCTGCTCTCGTTCAACGCCTCGTCGATGCACGAACGTTCTTCGAGGAAATGAATTTCAAAAAAACGACCTTTTGTAGTGGCATATTGGGAAAGTTTGGCATAGTTCGAGCAAACCTTTCTATCGTACGTGTATTTGTCTTTTCTTTACGCGCAAAACTCCAGTCGTTAAGCTTTTATCTTTTCATTGTTTATTCCCGTCTCTATAGTCGCTCGAAAACACGATGTCTCGATTTACACTGGCGCGTTCTCCTCGCCGGTTTAAGGAGTACGGTGCCGTTCTAGCGTGTAACCAGAAGAGTCTCGTTGGTCGAACAGTCCCCGCTGGACGGAATTTTCGAATAACGTACGTGTAACGACTTGGAGGCGAGCCGAAAACTCAAGAAATTACATTACTCGAAAATATCGCGCGACGTCCACGAAGACCACGGAAGTCGTTGCACCGAATGCTGATCGAACGAGCCAAAAGATCGTGCCAAGTCAACAGAGGTCAACGCGATGTTTTTCGGTTTCCATCGGTCCACGGTTTTCTTCGTTCAATTGTTCTTCCGGCCATTTTCCTCGTAGATCGAGGGAAGAGAAAGGCTCGGAGAGCGCGAACCGATTCGGGACAGATAATTCGTGCTATCGGTATTCGAATTCGGAATGGACAGTGAAAGTGTAGTCATTGATAGGGAAATTTGGCGTCACGGGTCGAGTTGAATGCAGAAAGGTGAAATTTGGAATCGACGCGACATCGTATCAAAAGTCGTCGTTTCGGCACTCCCGGTCAAACGCGATTCGAAACGTTGACTGGAGCGTTGGTTGCAACTAGGTCGATGGTAATTACCGAAGTTATTCACTCAGCTATGCAGACGGAAACGAGGCGGTACGGTGGCCACAGAATTTAAGATTCGCTCTACGTTCACCAGCGTAAGGAAGGATCTCGGTCGCCTCTTCCACTGGCCATCTGCCTACGATCTCGCTGCCATCCTGGTTGACGAGCTTCTTAAATTGCATTACCTATTAGAGCGAGTGCCTTAAAATTGTACGCTCCTCTCAGCCCCGGCCGTGCCTGCTAATTTGCAGCGGCAAAGAGAGAGGCCGGTAACTCGGGGTTAGCTCGGCTTATCTGCTCAGCTGCAACGTTCGCAAAGGGGCTTGCAAACCACTCTTCTCCTCTGTCTCTTGATTAAAGCGACGATTTTTTGACTCCGAGGAGATGGAATTACGATCTACTTCTTCCGGTACGAAAGAGGGAATCTGAAAAGGCGAACGTCCCACGGTTCGTATCCACGTTTCGTGAATCGCGTCCAAATCGAGCGTAGAATACATCGTCGAGCAATCGCCGATAAGGAAGAGGAAGCGTGTAAAGTCCTCGTATCGATCGAAATTCGAGGTACGTTTGTTTTCGCGGAAGCAAGTATTGTTTGCCTCGAAGCGTTCCGAATCAAGGAAACTACCTTTTAAATCATTCCGTACGGTGCAGCATGGTCGTTCAAAGTAGGTAATTTCTTTACGTCGCCGTAGAGAATAGGGTCCGTTTTATAGCTTTTGCGAATAGAATAAACAGATAGATAAACAGAATCGATTCGCCGAGTCCGTTTTACAACGTCTGGTACGTTTCGAACGAGTTTAAATCGTTTTGGAATTATTCGAAGATCGACGATTTCGCTTCGTTAAATGCGACAATTTCCTTTGCGTTTACGCGAGGAGAAGGCGACATGGATGTTTCGTGATATCGCGTTAGGGCATGTGTTTACGAAAACACGTAGTATAGCGACGTGTTACGTAAAACAAGATACCAGGGAAATGAAATAGCTCAAGGTGACAAGACTTAGGAAGAGCTTTGTATCCGTAAAGGTACGGTTCTTCCTGTTGGTTGCCTTGTATCAGGCAGCTTGGTAACGCGTCGTTTACTTTGCGGATGAACAAGGTGAAATGCCTACAGATACGTTTGCTAACGTTAGCGATACGGACTGGCAACCGGCGAAAACGCAGCTTTCGACGATAAGTGTCGACGACACGGTTCAACAACTGGAAGCATTTTAAATTTCGCTCGATCAACTTTGCTTTCGCGCAGAATTTTCAGAAAAGTCCGAAACGATTTGGTCAGATTGGGATTCGATTCAATTTGGTTGATCGTGTAAACACGCGAATCGGCGCGTGTTACCGCTTCCCCCGATGTGGTGCTTAAAGGGCTTTGACTATCGGATAAAGGTCGGCGTGAACTTTGCGAACAACTGTTACGAGAAGGATCAACGATGCGTCCAGTGGATGATCAAATATCGACGAGCATCGATACAATCGCGCGTAAATATATACTCCGCTAGAAACGAACATTTTTCTGTACCGCATCACGGTATATCGAACGTTTGTTGGTCGACTCCTTTGACTCGTATCAAATATCGCGAGTCGAATTTGCGTTTCGTATCACTCGTTTCGTGATTTATCGATTCCAACGTTCGCCGAACTCGCGATAGTTTTATGGTTTATCGAGACAAGGAAAGAACAAACGTTTATAATTGGACGATTTGCAGGGATTGATTCCGAAACGACGAGACGTTCAAATTTGCCGATTCCGAGAGTGGTCGACGATAAATAGTAGTCGATTACGAGTCAACCGGAGAACGCTAGTCTTGGGAGAATAACGGAAATCGAGTCATTCTTGCAGAGCAGGGGGAAAGATCTTTCTTCGGCACTAGAAAGTAGCCAATAACGATGCAAACAAGTTTTCCTGGACTTGGGAGCAGAAAATAAGAAACTACTTCTTCTCGATAGAGGATAAGGGCAGTTTACTTTTTATAGCGTGGATTTTTTCCAAGAAATTTCTCTTACCGTCGATCTGCTTGCAACCATTTACATCTTCCGCCTTCGACTGAGTAAACGTCGATTTTCCAAATAAATTTTTACCCAGTGGAACTTTATTGTTTCGCGACGACGCAAGACTCCTCTTCGTTATTCTTTCCGTTTTGGATTATTCGATGCATTTTTCTTTTTTACAGAAAGATCCGCGAAAATATCCGTTTAACGACCGAGATCGTGATTCGAGTGAAAGTGGACGAGCGATTTCGCGACGAAGCAACGCGAATCGCAACGAGAGAAATACTATTTAATTCTGCAATTGGCAAACTAAATTTACTCACGATTATCACACCGGTTACGTTTTCGTTAAAAGAACCGACAGCTACTTCCTTTCTTCCAGTCTCTGTTCTTTCTTTTCGCGAATTGTACGCTTTACGGCCGCACGCGACCGTTTTACGGTATAGCTTTTCGTTTCGATGATACGAATCGAAGTCGAGGAAAGGTTACAGTGTTCGCGTGACACTATGCAAGAACGTGGCGATTTTCGCGTGTTTCCCAGAGCTTCGTTACTTTATTATTCGTTGACGTTCCATCGACCCGACTCTTCGCTTTGTTTTACGACCGACGTTCCGAAAAATCGCAAAAAGCAAGTTTCCACGTTAACGTCATGCTCGCAGAATTATTTCGTGAAATTTATCTACATCGTTACGGTAAAGGATAAGCTCCGCACCTTGGATGAAATAACTTATTCCGGGACAAGCGATACTTTTATCTTCGTTAAAGGTATTTCGCGTTAAACGTGTTTCAAGTTGCCGGGCGAACATATTTTACCGTTTATGCCTGCTCTCAACCGTCGACATTTGTCTCGGTTAGCGCATAGTGGCACATCGGGAATCCGTGAGATGTTCGATAAAGGTTTACAGCCGTTAGAGCTGATAGTTTTCGCGCAATAAAAGGTAAACGCGAGTTCCTCTTCGTGCTTTCGCAGCTTTTCGTATGCTAATGTCGAAATAACATCGATTGACGAAACGAGACCACTTTTGCACGGTTCTAGCGCCGGATCTCTCGATGCTCGCAAAAATTCGAAATTTCGCGAGCGAAGAAGAGCCGCGGCAAAGAGGAAGCGCGAAGAAAGTGTCCGGAAAACTGGAAGAGAACGGGAGTGATGGCGAATAGAGGAAGGCTATCGGTCTGCTCTATCTACGGATCCGGGTTCATCGTGAATACGAATGAGCTGCTGGTCGATCAGGCTGCAGCACTAATTGAGAAAGTTCGCCGGTACCGCCGCTAGTGTTTCCTCTGGATGAAGATAGCCGACCACCTTTGGGGCTAAGTCTGCTCCTCTGTTCCTCTTCTTCGTGATTAAGGCCTCCTGTTCCTTTGGACGGGTTTCCAGCGTCGGAGCACCAGAGTGAGAGAGAGAGAGAGAGGGGGAGAGAGAGGACGGAAACGCGGTGGTACTCTCCGTGGGTGAAAGCTTGTTTCCTTTCTTCTCCGTATTCTCTTTCCATGATCGTCGCGATTATATTATCAACCAGGGAATAACATCTGGACTTACCGATCGGACGTAGGAAGTAGCGCGACGATGCCAGCAACAGGAAAATCAATCGGAGCGCCTCCATGATGGTTCCGATTCACGCGTGCATCGTGCGTTTATCCAGCGAGCTCGCCTACAATAGAGAAAGGCGTGAATAGGTATAGGAACGCGAAGCGACGTTCTCGCGTAATCCATAGTTCTTCGGGGTTGCCCGTTTTATCGGATACCAACGTTATGTATAAATTGATAATTGTTACGCAGGAATGATAACTCGTCTTTTCGACTTTCTCGATTACAATGAACCGTTGGTTAATTAAGAACAATCCCGCGATCTACGGAATAGAGCGTGTACTCTTTATAGATTGAGAGGGAGAGTGTATTCGTTTCGCGCAAGTGGTATAACAATAGAACAGTTCACCTAATTAATCCGCGATACGCCCAGCTTGGATCGCAAAGCCTTATCGCGAGTGAAAGCACCTGTACATTGTTAATGCCGATCGATGACTACGATTCGCATACATCTACCGTACACGCATTGATCCGTTCGAGCCTATAGCGAGGCAAAAGCTCGTTGGTTCGGAAAATGTGTCCGGGATTTCGCGGAGATGTATCGAGTATCTCGAATAATCCAGGTAAAGGACGGAGTATCGGCTACTCCTCCACGTGTACAGGTTCGGCCAAGCTTCGGTGCGGACCACGAACGAAACACGTCGTGAACCTAGTCGACCGATCATCCTGCCTCCCTTCTAGCTCCGGCTCTCTGTTGCGCCGTTAATCGAACGCCAACGCGTCTTCCTTTTCTCCACGTTCGGCCATCCCCATTCGTTTTCCTTCTCAGGGCTTTTCGATCACGAGATTACACGATTCTATGGACAGATGCTACGAATTCATACAGGAATCGCGCGTAATACGTACCCCGAAGTGGCAGGTGGGCCGAGATAATTGCAGGTTAACGAATTCATAATCAGGTTGGACGCGAATCGATAACGAAGCAAACGCGAAATAAAACTGGGAATCGTATTGCGCGTTTCATACGAGGTCTGATTAATTCGCGTAGATCCACGCGTATATGAATATTTATTTCCGCAGATGCATTAACGCGATGCGATGTTGTTCTCGCGCGTTCGTGTTCCCTTCGAACGATAAACGTAATTAAAATGTTTCACAACGGCGACGCGTGTCGAAACGCATACGGATGATACCGTCCGAAATGGATGTATCCCGAACGATTAAGAGTTCATTATTGGCTGTTCGGATCGGCTCGATGTTTCCGATGTACCGGGTAAAATGGACTTTCTTCCTATCGTTTCGAGGCGATTGTAACATGTACGGACTATCCGTTTTCAGTTTCACGCGATGGAAACCTGGACCGGAACAACGCGCGTCCAGTGGGTTTAGCAAGTTCGGCTACGAGCTCGTAATTTCGCCACTTAATTAGACGGTGCTTTAACTCGCAGCTATGCTGGATACAGTTGCGTTCTCGGGATGAGAGCAACCGGTTGGTGTTTGCGGGTGTAAATAGAGGCGAGCTAGGGAAGAAGAGAAACCGACTCTGTCTTATCTGCGCGCTTTAATTTAAATAAACTTCTACCGAGTCAAGAATAAGTTTTAAGGGTGTCCGCGTATACCGATGTCACTTAATGTTCAAGTCATTGTGTGGAATATTAGCGGCAAACTTGTTTCTACTCACGAATACCGCGATCCTCGATTCGTCACGCTGACAACGATGAACATACCTAATCCATTCGTCTGGCGTTATCCAGAGTTTTATTAATTGAAAGAACTTGTGGCTATCGAATATGGATTTGGCTCGAAAGATATCCGAGAGTTAGAAGACGTAAAACGCGCGTTTGAATTTCTTTGAACGATAAGGGTGCAGAGTGGAGAGTTCTATGGCGAACTGAGGGGAAGCAGGAGAAACGAGAAACGAAAACCGAGAAACGGGCAAATTAATGTCAGTGCGGAAAGCAGAAGCTCGAAAACCTCGAGAAGAGGAAATATAAATGTGGACATTTCCATCGCGGGTCACGTAGTTTTCTTTCTTGCATTTGTCGCTCTTTTCGTCACTGGTGTAGGGGGGAGGGTTAAAGAAGAAAAAAAAAAAAAAAAAAAAAAAAAAAAAAAAAAAAAAAAAAAAAATAATGAAAAGAAGAAAAAAGGGGCCTCGGTGGGGTACGTGGCCTTTTTGGTGAAACGTGCTGTCGCGTCTTCAAGAAGAACTGCTGTAAGGTAAAGAACGAATAAAGCAAGGAAGAAAATTGGAGTGTTTGCAAAGGTCGCTAGGGAGCAACCACGCGAGCGCAATTGGCATTCTTAGCCGCGCGATTGTCGACGAATTTCACCGATTCGTCTTCTTTCTTGCCTTTCCTCGTCTACGTTTTTCAGTCTTTCTCGCGAAATTAGGAAACGTCGGATTAACGTTACCGTATTTCGGTGTCGGTGAAAGCGGAAGGTAGACGATCGGTGCGGCATGGATAACTCGATTCCATCGATCAAATAATTACCATCGTTCATGGAAATAGTGACAGTCCGCTTGGATGATCGACGTTTCGTTATCTCTACTCGGGATGAACTTAGCGGAAAATAACGGCGAATAAAGTCCGTGTAATGGAGGTTTGCGAGTAGTCCCGTGGCTTTGGACAAACCGGATGGATACTGTGACTCGGTCCGTTGCACACGATGTATCGTCGATGTAATATTTAACCCCTTTCGCAGTTTTTCTCGTGGAAAAACCGGCCTTACGCGGAATCGTGATTTACCGTCGAGCGAGTCGAATTATCGATCGCTACTACCATCGATATATTAACGGTGATACATTCTCGCCATGGCCGATGCTATTGCTACGGGGGTCCTATAATATCCTACATACACTCGATATCGTTTCGTTTCATTTCGTTTCATTTTGTTTCATTCTGTTTCATTTCGTTTCATTCCGTTTCATTTCGTTTCGTTGTCACGTCGTAACGTATGGAGGGATATTTCTTCCTCTAACTTTCGTTCGTTAGTACGCCAAGTATATCGAGGATATCCGAGGCCAGAAAATAGTTGGGTTACGAATAACCTTTGAACATTCGTCCTTCGTTTAATTTCGAGTAACGAGTATCGGAACAAAAATGACGAGTTTTCGTTAAATTCAGCTCGCGATTGGTTCGATTGCGATCGGTTGAAACGTGATCTCGCAACCCTCGTCGATCCCTTGGTACTGTTAAATCTGAACGTTGGCGCGTGCCAGAAAATCGGGAAGAATTTTAAATTTAGAAGGGATAGGACGGAACACAAGATGGTAACGCGTGAAACGAATAAGGCGAAAAGCGTAAAGAGAAAATTGGCTTTCCTTGGGTGGCAGTTGCACAGAGGGAAGCCTCTTTGCCTGAAAACGTCTGCACGTGGCGGAGAAACCGCACATAGGAATACCTGAATTATGTATACAACGCCGTAAGCCGGCCGGCTTGACGGTGTAACAAGCTGTCGATGTCAAGGTAACGAACGAACGGCAACCCTTGCCACGTAGAATTTATTGGCACGTCATAACGAAAGAGGATACTTGTCCGCCTCGCACCCCCTTGCCACGTCCTCGATTCACGATTCAGGATTCAGGATTCAAACCTCTTCATTTAGTCGGTTGGAACCCTTCGTGTGTCAGCGAGTTGTTACGAAGGATTCCGCTATGATTTCATGCCGAGTAGATCTTATTCGATGCCAAGCGCATCTTGCGAACCGTATACGTGTATATCTTCCTGTATCGTAATTTAGTTGTACGGTAAATGTTTAAACCTGGTAACTTTAAAGCGAAAAGTTTGTTACGGAACTTCGGAGATATCAAAAGTTAATATCGCTGTTACAAATGAACGGAAACAGAAATTTCGAATGAAACGATAATCCCGTTGCGAGAAATTCACAGGACACTGGGCGTAAATTGGCACGCAAACGCGAAACTCTCGCCCAGTCGTTCCTAGCGTGAGCTTTAAATTTTCCATTATTTATTTCAAATTTTTCAACTCCTACCTATATATTTTAAAAAGATATAAGTCAAATCCAGCATCGAAACTTGAAATAAGATCGATCAGGTTTATCCTATCTATCAACTGATACAATTATCCTCTCAGAGTTCTGGTTTCGTTAACAAGCTGATCCAGCCATCCTCGTCGTTACCAGTTCATTGTCTCTTTTTGCGAAATTCATGTTAATCTCAAATTTTTATCGAAGCATATCCAATCTCCAGGCAGAAATAATCATATTACATTCTCGTTGGACAAAAGTGTAGCGAACGGGGTTGTTAACGAGAGATTGAATTTGCAAATAATAGATAATTAAAGCATAGTTGGTGAATTAATTTTTTACTTCGATACAATTTTCAGCAGCAGGATTTTCCTTTCTTTTTCGCTAAATTTTCGCGTTTAACGAATAATTCTGCGAATCACTTTTTCGTTATTTATTCGATACTTGAAAACGATTTTAATTTTTCCCTCGCTTCGTTCCTTCTTTCGTTTCGATCTTTCGTACCCGACTTTGCTATCGTTTCGATATCTTTCTTCTTCGGCATCGAACTTCTTTGCGTACAAGTATTTTCTCGATCGTTGACCTAAATACTAGGTTTATAGCATAAAGACGTATCACGGTCTGTGTAGCATAGTGTATCGTCCAATGGCAGGAATCAAAGAAGCTTTCGAGTAGCAATTTCAGTAAAATGTACAATTGATACATAAGTACTTTATTGACCCTTCGTTGCAGTCGCTATAATTGTGCTATTATCTTTGATACCGGTAGCTTTTATAATCATGTTATTACAGGGCTTTGTTTAGTATAACTGCAGAAGATAAATATAGACCGGACTTTGCTCGATTATAATTCGCGATCGTTTACGAATCGTGACGATATTTTATATCTTGTTATAACGCTATAACGCTATTGCGATACCGATTGAAGAGAACGATATCGGGAAAAAGCCACGCGCCTAATTAGAATTGTTCGCCTCGTACTTGGATACTTTTATGTGCACTCGAGTTGTTTCAGTCCGGAACTTTTCCATCTTATCGTATCGTATCGTATCGTATCGTATCCTATCCTATCCCATCCTATCCTATCGTATCCTATCGTATCGAGAAAACTTTCGTCGACCAAGTTTTATCGCTT